GTAAAAGGTGATAAAAAGAGTCTCCTGCTATGATAATTACACTCATTACAGGTGCCCTGGAGTTCATGACCCAATGGACAACTCTGCTGAAGATTAATACATTCAACCCTTAGCATCAATAATTCAGGAGGGTAAGGCAATTACTGCTTCACAAATTCCAAGTTTTGCTTATGCAACCCATTTGAAAATGGAAGGGACGGTTTGTTTTGGGTATTTGTGAAATCTGTTTTTTTGGGAAGATGCATACTTTTCATACCACATGCACAAATATATTCTGGCACTGTTTGGGACATTCTTGAGGATGGATCTGCAGTGCTGTTTTAATTTGGAAAATAAAGGCATCAACCGTGTTCAGAATAATAAATAAAGGAGGAAAAAAAAAAACCAATAGAGTTTAGTGACAGGCAAGCAGCCAGGCACTCTTAGGAGACAGGAGCGGGTAAGAGAAGGGAAAAGAAAAAGTAAATACAAAGGAAATGTTAGCTGGTACACAAGAAGTGTTCAGTCAACATCTTGTGGATAGTATAACCCTTTTGGAAGACATAGTGTGTATCCCACTGGCCTGAAGACGCTGGCTCCAAGCCACAGCATGAATATAAAACTACTGCAGAGGGGGTAGGAGCATGGCTTTTCTCGACTTAATTATCGTTATAGAGATAATCTGATTTAAATTCTGGCATACATTCTCTGTTTTAAAGACATATTGTTCCCTGTTTGTGGTACAGAGTTGCCCTGTACCCTTAACTATCATGCATTTTACATTAAAAAGGAAGAAAACTGAAATGTCACTGCACTGTGTTTTGCATCTGCTGTTTGCCGAACCATTTTTCTTTTTCCGTAGATAAACAGCCTAACCTATAGGTCATTAATTTCAACAATATCAACAGCAAAACATCTGGCTTTGTGCTGTTGCTTAAAGTCAAGAGATTATTTTTGCAGTTACATTTTTACCACAAAGTTCAACAACTAAGAAACACAGAACTTGGCCATGACTAGAAGAAACTGTAAAAAAAGAGAGAGAGAGACAATATAAAAAGAAAATACCCATTTCTCCTCAACTGTAGCACCACTACGCCATAAGGGAAAGCAGAGTGAGAGTGAAAGTGCAAGGAACAAGTGGACTGTAAACAAAACGGAGAGCTCGCAGAAATCATGCACATGCGCAACTGACTCTTCAATGCTGTAAAAAAAAATTATGGCTGCTTGGAGCTTTTGGGACAACATTTTTAACAAATAGGCAGGTCTGGTGTTTCATAAACATCACCCAGGGCAGGGGTGTTTTTAATTGTTTTTGAACAGCGACAGAGGTTGATGGCACAGATGAGTCAACAAATCCAAGTTGTAGACTGGCAGACATGAACTGTGAGCAGAGGCAGGTCATTGTTGGTTTTAGTCTCTTTATGAGGACTGCTGAAAATACTATTATATACTGTAGAAAATGACTGACTCACCTTATTCTTTAGGTCAAATTTGCCTCCTTTAGACATCCCATAAGAAATAAGAACCTTACCAGCTACTTAATTAAAAAGCTGATTTTGGTTGACAAGGCATCAAAATGTCTCTTTAGACTTCTTTCAAATTATTAACAACTATTTTTTTTCCAAATACATTGCCTCCATAAACTGTACATGTACGTATGTGTGCCCTAAACCAGCTGCAGTACAGTACTGGACATGAGATAAAGTACCTTTTACACTTGAAGAGAAAAAATTGTTTAATTCTTTGCATGCATTGTTATTCATTACTGTGACTTTCCTACTGTGATGTAAAATATGATGTTATCCATTTTGTCATCGTCTTCTTCTGACTACGGTTCTAAAAATTGAGAATTCACAGAATAAATTTAGCTCGACAGCCAAAGGTCTCACAAACTGTGTATTATTATAGTGTGTGTGTGTGTGTGTGTGTGTGTGTGTGTACACTTCCTGTGCTGAGGTGCCTAATGAGAGCATTATAGAGTTACTTTTGTATGCTTTTTCTGATAAATACTGTACAATGCTGTTTAATATCATTTAATATAAAACTGATTGAAAGAATCCAAAGAAGAAGAAGGATCATTTAAGCTGGCACAGTGAAACCCAGAGCAATATATCTTGGGAATATATATGAAGAAAACAACATATCTGATTCCATTCATGGAGTGCAGTGTAGGAGGTTTTCATAGATTTAATAGGGACCTGGGGGCTCTCGACACATGATGCACACATGCTTGCAATGTTTTCAGCATAAACTGCCCTCATAATTTAACAGTGCAGTCAGATTTACTCTTCTTCAGGCAGTTTAGGTGTCTGTGTTGTCGACATGCAGGATGCTGCATTTTCAAAAACACTGCACGCGGTCAGAGAAATCACGCTGCCTTTTGTTGGCTCTAAAGATATGTAATAATGGAAATGATGTACATAACAGCTCTGTTTTATTCAGATGTAAATGAGGCATTACTCTAATTTAGATTTGGCACCCCATTTTCCCTCCAAATAACATTTGTGATTACTGGTGAGACCTTCTAAAAGGTCACTAACTACTTTAAAATAAACAAGCCTATTATACATTTTAATGTTTGCTGTATTGGTAAAGCAATATAAATTTCAACTTTCCTTTATTTGTGGTGTAACAAAAGGTATTACTATAATGCTGCCAGGGTACTGTAGCTCCATTTTTCCGATAGCTCTTTGTATTTCCTCTCTGTGCTGAGGTGCCAAATGAGAGCATTATTGAGCTGCTTTTGTGTGCTTTTGCGTCTGCGGTGACCCAACTGAATGAACAACAGGCAGAGGTCCAGAAAACTGGCTCCAAACTCCTCTGCAGGCTCACAAAAATCACTCTTCGATGGTGATTGTATGAGCTCCCTGAAGCATGAAAGGCATGCATGAGATCTTTTTATTTGCTCTACTTATGAAATTTCTGGTTGCTGTCAAATCGATAAAGAGATGGAACTATATTTATGAAAAAGTCTGAAGAACTCTGAAGATTAAATTTTCATTCCAGGCATCAGACATAAGGCTCATTTGCCATTCCCATTTTATAGCATTTGCTATTTAAATTTCACACCGCCCAAAATTTTCCATTTACTATTCATGATTGTATCAGGTGTATGATATCAAGTATTTCAATCCTTTGAACATAGAGTTTCTAAAAACTGAAATATACTCAGTAACAGTTAAACCCTTTGAACGCCAGCCATCATTACAAATTAATTCCACTGATGAAGACTGAACCAAATATCAAAAAACAAGTACTGAGTCCATACTATGATTAGCAGCTTTGATCACAGGTTTGATCAAAAACAGCAACAAATACTATAATTTAAATTCCCACTATACAAATGAATACACAAAGTATAATATGTAATAGTCTGGTAACACCTTAAATGACAGATTATCCATGAAGGAACTAACAACTTTGATTTAAAAGTAAAGTACACTGAATAACTAGTAATTATAATTATTAAGAATAACTAAATTAAGAATTGTAGGCACACTGTTATTACTGTGTAATGAGGCAGGAAAGGCCATTGTGGACACTGCAGTAAAATAAATTGTTTTCATATATTCTGAAATGATGATATACTTACAAATAAAATTTATATTGTTGAAAGCTTGTTGTTATTAATAGGGGTTTATCAATCTATGGTGTGCATGTTCTTCTATGGCCTCAAGTCTTCTTGGATAGGTCTTTACAACCTTTGCACACCACAGATGTTCCATGGGGTTGTCTTGACTATATGTGTTGATTATTGTCATGCTGAAAGCTGAACCATGCCACAGGTGCAGCCTGGAACACTCTTATTTGGCTCCATCTTTCCATCAGTTCTGACCAGCCTCCCTGTCTCTATTCCAGAGAAACACCCCCAGAGAGTGATGCTGCCACCACCGTGCTTCATCATTGTATTAATCAGGTGATGAGCAGTACCTGGTCTTTGCCAAACGCTGTGCATGGAGTTCTGCCCAAAGGTTTCAAATTTTTGTCAGACCAGAAAATCTTTGTCCTCACACTCACAGAGGCCTTTAAATGCTGTTTGGCAAGCTCCAAGGACCTTCTTGCCCAGTGACTCAGCTTGGCCTGATGGCCAATTCTAGGAAGAGTCCTGGTCGTACCAAACTCATTCCATTTCAAAATTATTGTGCTCCTGGGAACACTCAAATTTTTAGAAACAGTTTTATACCCTTGCCCTGATCTATGGCTGGTCACAATTTTAATCACAGAGGTCTGCTGAGAGTTCCTTGGACTTCATGGCTTGGTTTTTGTCCTGACATGCAATTTGAATTTGGGACCCTATGTACACAGGTGTGTGCCACTCTAAACTATGTCCAGTCAATTCAGTTTGCCACAGGTGGAGACTCAAGCGGTGGAATCTCAGTGGTAAATCGACTCAAAAGCACCTGACCTCAGTTTGGAGTGTTTCAGCAAAGGCTCTGAATACTTCTGCAAACCAAGCATTCCCTTTTGTGATGTCACATTCAATTTGTCTTTTTTGAAACAGGCATATAACTCTCTTACAAAACCACCTTCAAATTTTACTGTACTATAAGGTGCACATAGATATATATATAAATCTATTTATATATCATTTATCTACTAGGGTTTTCAAAGCCCAAGTTGCTCTTCAAGCCAAGTCCTGTAATAAAGATGTTCCCCTGTAGCATTAACTATAACACCGTATGTCTCCAGAATAATCATAAAATATTGTGAAGCAGTACATACTGTAGTTCTCGGGTCTGATTTAAGATCTATCTGATAGTTGATTAGCCAGAAATGATATGTATTGTAGTTTACTGCACGACATACAACATAAAGAATAGTGTGGGGAAACTATTCCCCCTTTCAGGTGTTTGCACAATGAGGTCAGTATATTATATTATTTTGTGCATTCATTTTTTTACAACTGAATCTGTCCAATATCTTGTTTTGTCCAACCAACTGTTAAAAGCCTAAAGATATTTACTGCACCTAATTATTGCATACTTACATTTGCCACTAATTAGAAACAAAATAAGACTTACCCAGTTGAATGTTGTGGATGACATGCATATCATCTTGGCTCTGAAAAGATGAAAAGTATTTTTAATCATTACAGTATATATATATTAAAAAAAAAAGTTCAACAGCCTCAAATAATGACTTACATCCACCTTTTTGTTTTAAAAATGGCTTGTTTGAAAATATTCATTTTCAGCAAAGTGTTTTTTTTCTTCTTCCTAATCACTAATTAAGATGAACTCATCCTAAATATGGAAACCCCTATGGGTTATTTGGAGAAATAATGGGCCATACCCCGCGTCGTTAGTCCTGTTTAATTGTGTGCTTTGCGCCTGCAGCATTTAAGCGCTGAGTGTTCGGTTCTATTCCACCTCCAGAGCTGTCAGCACACACGATAGAACATGGCGGGATGAGTAAATCAGTCACAAGCCAAGCAAACTTTGAAGAGCTGTCTTTCACCTCCGCCTTTCAGAGGAAATCTTTTAGTATTGGGAGAAGCGAGAACGTGCACACACAGGCTGTTTCCAGAGCTCTAGGACAAGAGCGGCAGGGTATTAATGAATAATGACAAACGGAGGACTGTTTTGATTTATGCCTTCCTCTAGACTAACAATCATTTCACTGGCAAGCTGTTCCAGCCTTCAGAAAGCTTAACTAAGTCATAAATTCAGTCTCAGTGGGTGTGGTGCAGTGGTTACAGGGAATCACAGTATATAGTGGCAGCTGTGTGAACAAGTCTATGTGTAACCGCTATCTCAGCACATTCCTATTCAGCACAATTCTCATAATAGAGAACAACCTATTCATTTACATTTACTGAAGCTGAATTCCTGCCCTGCAAACTGCCGTGAGTACACATCATTTATTTTGTGAGGGCACATTTGCCTGCACTTCTCATCTTTTCTACTATATTCAACAAATCCTGAATTAAATATTTTGACAAGCATCAAGTGAGTACGTAATCAGGATGTAGAAAAACCGACTAACTATAATGATATGCAGAATGATGACTCGTGCATATGTGAGGCTCTCTGTCTTATTTTGTCAGGTGATCAGAGTTAGAGGCAAATATATGCACAGGAACATAAGATCATATCAGGGTGATTTAATTCAGTGGGTACAAGACATCAGCTTAATTGGACTCAGTAGCATTAGTCATGCCCACAAGGTTTCTGTCTCATCTTATCACAGACACTGAAATCATTCCTTAGCTGGAGAGAGCAGGCACCTCAAGGAAAAATGCAGCTCATAAGTCGGGAGAATCTGAATTATTATCAGATAATTACCCATATAAAATCTTCCCAGATAGAAAATATATGACAACAGGTTAATATAGATGCAAAACTACTTTAAAGCAAGGTGGCAAATAATCTGGATGAATATGGAAGGTGGGACACTAGAATGGCAGGTGTGAAGTCTTTCAGTGTGTCTCCTCCAGCACAACTCCACTCTCAGGCAGAGAGGAAACAATAAATCACCGCACTGTCACTGTCAAACACAATAAATCAAGTCCTCCGGTGTGATGAATTAACTGGTTGGTGAATGTTACAAATTATATTGATTGTGTGTGGACAAATGTGTGTGTACCACATGATTTTACACAAGCCTAAATAAGATCTATGGTTTAATTGCAGTTTTCAACTTTAAATCTCTAAATCTAGCTGAACTATAGAAACTCCTACACTGCTATATATCAATTTGTAATGTTCTAGTATGTGGCAACCCCCCACCCCCACACTCTTTTTGCACAACAGGGGTTCCAACACAGGTGTCTGTGGCAAAAAAACAAACAAACAAAAAAAAAAAATTCATCCTGACACACGTTTTTCCACATCACGTCATCACACAGCAAGGGGTTGCTTTGACCAATCGATTACATGCAAGTGCACATTCTTCATAATGAAGATTACCTTTACATATTACTGTACTTGTAATGGTTGTGACAGAGGATAATTGTTGCTGTGATTACTTTCCAGAGCTATAAAATCCTGTCTTACAGGATTACAAACCTCTGTATAACTAAATGGGTCCAGAGGTTCTTTTTTGGAGGGTTGGTTTCTTTGATTGTTAACATCTGATATATTTATAAAATTCAATATGGCAGCTTGGTCAAGGAAAAACCATTTCTAGACTAATTTTCTTCACTATTCTTAGTGTTAACAGACAGGTATAGGATATAAATATATGACCAATATATTCTTTATTATGTGCTGAGGTTTTATAAGATGGATTTTCTTTAACATGGTGACACCAAGGTGACTTCACCTCAGATTTATATGGTCAAAAACGTATTCATTGGGCCTTTAACATAATGCCTAATTTTAAATCCTGCTCCTTGGTTGCACTTCATCGAGTCCCTGCAGTTGAGTGACATGAGGTCTATAAATCTTTCTCTCATAAATGATCTAATATTCTCCAGCAGAGTGAACTCAGATCAGGTCTAATGTCATTTTTGCCATTACTGAGAGATGAATTATTCTCGGCTCACAGAACTCAGGTCTTTTGGCCTTCTGCTCGCAGGTAACACACTCCTAAATCCAGTCTGACAGCAGGCTGTCAGCCATTTGCAGAGGGAATCAGACACCCAAAGGTGTTAAAAAGGAATTGCTATGTCTCTAGACTATCCATCTGAAGGAGTTAGTTTCACCATCCCTTGAGCGCTTTTGAACTACAACACCACAGGGCTGATGCAGACAGGAAAAGTTTGTGCCTCATGTAGAAGCTCAGAACAACAGCAGCACTGCGGTGAAGGTTTTTGCAGCTGAGGTGTATGTGCCCAAACTCCTTGAGAACGATGCTCAGCATAGTGTAACTGTTATATAATCAAGGACATCAGCAAAGACAATCTTTACCTTCGATATGAAAGCTCTTCACATAAATACACAGCAGAGCTCTGGCCCCTGCTACATCTCCATGTGACCCATCAGGTCACATTAGCTTCTGTTCGCTGATGGCAAGAGTGATTCAAGGTTGCAGGACTTTATTAATTTTGACAAGTGAGAGGAAAATGTATGATGTGCACAGAAGGGACTTAGGGCGCTTTAAGTACCAGAACGGGTGAACATACTATTAATGTTTTCACTTTGTAATTACTGTGTATTAATTAAACTAAGGAATAAACATTTTGTCAGTGAAGTGCAAACTATCAGCTTTATTTTGAGGATTCTTTCACATCCATTGAGCAGTTTTCTGTACTAAAACACCTGTTGTCTTTTTCCTCCATGTCAGCAAAAGAAGTGGCAAATCAAAATTTCACACAATGGTCATTTTCACACTCAAGGAAAAGCTTTTAATGTATGATGACTTAATGGCTTGAGACGTCTGATGCCTATGACCATCAGCAGGTTATTTTTGTCAGGTTTTCTTCATAGCTTTCTCCTGAAAACAGCTATTGGCAAAGGCATAATGACTCAAAACTGACAAACTGAACTGTTGAATTCAATTGTACTATGCAGCTAACCAAATCAAATAACACAGAGTAATTATATGCATCCAATCAAGGTAATTTTGCTACGTAATTAACTGGAATAAGATGCAGTGGTTAGCGCATTTGACAGTATCATCCCTCATCATCCTGTCCCCAAGCAGCTGGGGAACACTGATCAATTAAGAATGGCACTACCTGATCAAATTAAAATCTAAATTTTCATTGTAGCTACCCTTGTTTCTGTTTTTCTTTTGCTGTAACACACACACACACACACACACACACACCCACACACACAAGCATTTGACTTTATATAGTTGGAGGACACAGATATAAAATAGTCACTAGCCCCTGACCCTAACACTTAACCATCACAACTAAAGGCTTTACTCCAAAACCTCAGCCTAACACCTAACATATTCAATTTATTTGTATAGCACCAATTCATAATAAACAATCATCTCAGGCACTTTACATAATAAAACCTAGATCTTACACTATCATAGGGAAAACCCAACAAATCCACCTTGAGGAAGCACTTGGTGACAATGGGATGGAAAATCTCCCTTAAACGGGAGAAACCTCCGACAGACCCCGGCTCTTCGTTGGCAGCCTTCTGCCTTGACTGGTTTGGAGTGAGCGGATAGAGGAGAGAGAAAAGGCATCAGGTTACAACAAAAACACTGGTGAGGTTAAACTGGATCTGTGACTGCACATCATCACTTACCTCACCTACTTCTACACTCAACCCTAAAATCAAGTCTTAACCATCCAACAGCCCTTTGAGGTTGTGAGGATCTGTCAAAAAGTCCTCACAATGATGGTATTGAACTAATATTTATCCACGAAACATGTACATACATGCAGAGTGTGCCTTTCTATACTTGTGAGGACACTCATTGATATAATGTAACCAAAATCTACTTTTACCCTTAAACCCCTGAAACTACATCTTAATCTTCAAAAAGACCTTAGAAATCGTTAGGACTGGCTAAAATGGCCTCACAACATCATAATGTCCTTCCAGTGATGGTATAACACACACATTTATCCACACGATGCAATAAAGACATGTACACACACACACACACACACACACACACACACACACACACAAAATGGATTTCATAGGAAGGTGTTCCGGGCATGTCCCACCGGGAGGAGGCCCCGGGGAAGACCCAGGACACGCTGGAGGGACTATGTCTCTC